TTGGGGAAAGTAATACATAACACTTATTATGGTAACTAGCAAAAAAACTAAAAATAAGCATTGTTGAAAGTGATTATTTTGGGGGATTAACTCTGGGGTGAGTGTAAAAGATTTCTAGTTTTCATTTTCCAGTTTTTGAACTTTTTTTTTGTTTTGCTACGTTTCTATGTTACTTTATGATTTAAAAAACTAGTTTAATTAATAAAACAAAATATGTACAACAGAGGTTGGTCTGAGGATAGTAAACTTGTATTTCTGGAGGCCTCTTCATTCCAGAAAAGAATTAATAAATATCATGTTTAGTGCCCATTAATGTTCATCAAACTTTTAGACCTATTAGTGAGTGCTGAGGTTCTTAGAGCTTGTGTAGGCTTCCTCAGCCCTGTTTATTCACAAAAGTAGCATTTTTTAAGGGGTATTGCATTCTCTTTTTTTATTGTTTTTAGAGAGAGGGGAAGGGAAGGGAGAGAAAGATAGAAACACTGATGAGAAACATCTATCAGCTGCTTCCTGCACAGCCCCTACTGGGGACTGAGCCTGCAACTCGGGTCTGTGGCCTCGTCAAAAATTGAACTGGTGCCCTCTAGGTTCTAGAGTAGATCCTCAACCACTGAGCCACACCAGTCAGACAAGAGAATTGCGTTCTTTTGCTAAATCTTCCTAAGAGAAAAAAATATTGCTAAGAACATTAAATATCACTAATATGAAGACATATGAAGATGTAAATATTCTTCAAAAACTGATGAAAATGACAAAACAAGTAGAATGATATCTTGATTTTTATGTCCTATATTTTTTTTGCCAGGAAGTTCTCTGTCAGCCTACCTAGTCCCTGATTTAGTCTACAAAATAATTACAAAAACTAGAAAGTTTCACATTTTATTCTTTCTTTTAACTCACTTCATTCAGTGGGGAGAAATGACTTGCCCAAATTACACTGCTTATTATTGGCAAAAACCAGGCCTCTTTCCATATATCTGTCCTAACAGTCTTGGTCCTGGTTCATCATGCTGTGTGAGTGTGGACAGTCACTTAGAATCTTCTGGCCTCCATTTCCTTACCTATAAAATGCAATAATAAGATTAGATTAACATAAAATCAGTCCCCATAGTTGCTGATGGTAGCCATGTATTACAGTTGGAGAAAAGAAGGTCTAGCAAGGCTCTGCAACTTAGTAAGGTTCACCCTGCAAGGCAACCTTGATCTTTGCAAACATTCATTTTATACAGTAGTCCCCCCTTATCAACAGTTTCACTCTTCACAGTTTCAGTTACTTCAAATATTAAATGTCCCCAACCATTGATATCATTTGTTCCTGACATCCAATCACAGTCATGGTTCAGTGACTCAAGATCACCCAGAAGCAGATGATCCTTCTCTGACAAATCCTCAGAAGGTCAATAGTAGCCTCACACTGGTTACAATGCCTAAGTCATTGATCTCACTTCATCTCATTACATAGGCATTTTATCATCTCACATCATCACAAGGGTGAGTACAGTACAATAAGACATTTTGAGAGAGACTAGTTACATAACTTTTATTACAGTACTAGAGACTCGATGCACGAAGATTCATGCAAGAATAGGCCTTCCTTATTTTTTTTTAATATATTTTATTGATTTTTTACAGAAAGGAAGGGAGAGAGATAGAGAGCTAGAAACATCGATGAGAGAGAAACATCGACCAGCTGCCTCTTGCACACCCCCTACCGGGGATGTGCCCACAACCAATGTACATGCCCTTGACTGGAATTGAACCTGGGACCTTTCAGTCTGCAGACCGACGCTCTACCACTGAGCCAAACCGGTTTTGGCGAATAGGCCTTCCTTATGCTGGCTGCCGGTACCGCCTTCATTACGGCTGGAACCGCCTTTTCACTCTGGCCTGGATCTGCCTTTCTGCCTTCCCACACTACCCAGTGGCCCAGAGCAGCTGGGGTGGTGTGGGATGCCATGGTGACAACGTAAGCATCCCCCTCCCTTGCCCCCGGCCGCTTGGTGCCTGTATATGCAAATTAACCTGCCATCTTTGTTGGGTTAATTTGCATATTCACTCCTGTTTGGCTGGTGGGTATCACAAAAGTACAGTCAATTTGCATCTTACTCTTTTTTTAGTGTAGATGTTATTATAATTGTTATTATTATTTTTTTAATATATTTTATTGATTTTTTACAGAGAGGAAGGGAGAGAGATAGAGAGCTAGAAATGTCGACAAGAGAGAAACATCGTCCAGCTGCCTCTTGCACACCCCCTACCGGGGATGTGCCCGCAACCAACGTACATGCCCTTGACCAGAATCGAACCTGGGACCTTTCAGTCCGCAGACCGACGCTCTACCACTGAGCCAAACCAGCTATAATTGTTATTATTGTTAGTCTCTTACTGTGCCCAATTTATAAATTAAACTTTATCATAGGTATGTATGTATAGGAAAAAAACATAATATATAGAGAGATCGATTATCATCTGCAGTTTCAGGCATCCACTGGAGGTCATGAACGTTTTCCCCACAGATAAGGGGTTGACTACTATATTCTGACTCATCTAAACAGACTTCACCTTAATGTAGTCACAGTACTTTGATATGACAGCCTCAGGAATCCAAAACAAGGAAACTCAGCTGATGTGACCCAATTTAGCTTAATAAGCTTAACAAAAACAACAACAACAAAATATAATAACTATAACATTATCTAAAGAAGAAGAAGAAGAAGAAGAAGAAGAAGAAGAAGAAGAAGAAGAAGAAGAAGAAGAAGAAGAAGAAGAAGAAGAAAGGAAGATAGGAAAGAAAGAAAGAAAGAAAGGAAGGAAGGAAGGAAGGAAGGAAGGAAGGAAGGAAGGAAGGAAGGAAGGAAGGAAGGAAGGAAGACAGACCAGTAAGCTTTGCTAAAGGGTCATAATCACTTTTAATTTTGCATGAATCAACAAATTAGCAACTGTGGGCCACACTCAATATTAATCACTCCTGTGATTGTCAATTATGCTAAAGAGTCCTTGGAAGCTCCAGAAGGCCAGAATCTACTGTGGCTACTATAATAGTAGATAACTTTAAATTTCAAGTTAGAAGAAACCTTAGAGATTATCTAACACTGTCAGTTCATAGCAGGAAGAAGGAGGCCCAAACTCGGGAAGTGACTTTTACTCGAGTTTAGAGTTTACACACGTCTGGGGGCAGAGCCAGGATTAAAGTTCAGGCTTCTTGACCCTCATCCAATGAACATTCATCACATGAAATGCCAAAGCTAAAGACCTGGGTGAAGCTGAATCCCCTCATTATGACCCAGGTGAGACTGAAATAATTAAACAGGAAAACCAGGAGCTGTGGGAGGTATGAGAAGCATCTAAGAAGATATGAAATAGAAAACACATTCAAGATAACCAAGAATATGAGCAGTACTAGTGCTACAGTACTAGGCCCAGGTATTTAGATAAAATCAAAGGAAACTTACCCAAAGCTTCTCCCAAGGAGAAAATATTTTATTTATTTCCCACCTTAAAAAATATATTTAAAATCATTTTACGTAAGATACATATACTTTAAAAATAATTTTTGTGATTTAAATAACACTTAATAGGGGTTTTCAAGTTATTAAAAGAAAACATTCATTAGAAGTAAACTTTTTAGGCAGAGATAACTACTCTTAAAATTTTATAATTTTCTTCTATCCATTTTATATGTAAATACACTCTCTCTTTTTTTTTAATCCTCACCCAAGGATATGTGTGTTTTTTTAATTGATTTTTAGAGAGAAGGGAAGGAAGGAGGGAGGGTGAGAGGGAGAGAAAAGAAAGAGGAAGAGAAAGAGGGAGAGGAAGAGGAAGACAGAGTGAGAGAAAAAGAGAGATAAAGAGAGAGAGAAACATTGATATGAGAGAGAAATTTCGATTGGTTGCCTCCTCAACTTGCCCTGATCAGGATCAAACCCAAAACTTGAGTAAATCCCCCGACTGGGACTGAACCTGCTACTCTTTGGCGTACAGGATGATGGTCCAACTAACTGAGACCCAGCCAGGGCATCTTTTTTTTCAATTGGGATCACTCGTCATATATTATTTTGTATTTTGCTTTTATCTCTTAATTTTATCTTAGAATAAATGTAATTGGAATCTTTGAAAACATTAAAATTCCATTAAATGAATGTTGCATAAATTATTTAACACCTTACCAATTGTTGGACATTAAATTGTACATTTTTCAATATAAAAAAATTATGCTGTAACAAAACAAGTCTTCCCATGGTAGCATGTCACAAATTCAGCTATTTAAGAATCTTAATCTTCTTCATTCAAAAGAAGACTGCTTTTCTTCCTTGGTGTGTGTACAAATAAACCTGTTTTTGCATTACAAAAATTAAAAGGGAAAAAAAAGATACTGTGATCATGTAGCTCATAAAGTAGGATTTAAAAATAATGGTCACCAATAAGGTGGACTATTCAACAACTTGTGTCAAGACAATAATTAGCCATTTGGAGAAAAACTGAGTTGGCTGCCCGGTCTGTGTAGCTTAGTGGTTGAGCGTCACCCTATGAACCAGGAAATCATGGTTCAATTCCTGTTCTGGTTGGGGGCTCGATCCCCAGTGTGGGCATGCAGGAGGCAGCCATTCAATGATTCTCTTTCATCATTGATGTTTCTATATATCTCTCTCCCTCTCCCTTCCTCTCTGAAATCAATTTTTAGAATATTTTTTAAATTAACCAATGAATGCATAAATTTTTCTTTCCCTCCCCCCCTCTCTCCCTCTCTCTCTTCTCCTCTCTCTCTAAAATCAATAAATAACATTTAAAATAATCTATTATATCCCTGGCTGTTTTGGCTCAGTGGATAGAATGTCGGCCTGTGGACTCCTGGATTTGAGTCCAGTCAGGAGCATGTACCTCGGTTGGAGGTTCCCCACCCCTGGTCAGAGTGCATGCAGGAGGCAACCAATCCATGTGTTTCTCTCACATGGATGTTTCTCTCTGTCTCTCCCCCTCCTTTCTCTCTAAAAATCAATAATAAAATATTGTTGGGTGAGGATTAATGAATAAAAAATTAATAAAATATATATTATACATACCATTAATGAAACACTCCAACACTGTAAAAGTAATGAGCAAGCTCCTTGTAGATTGATATGGGGATATCTCAAAAATAATTTAAGAAGAAAGAAAGAAAGGAAGGAATGAAGGAAGAAAGAAAGATATAGAACAGCTGGGTCTAGTACAATATATGCTAAAATTTGTGCAAAAGAATATGCGTATTTGTATTAGATTTTACAGGCATAAAAGTTCTCTGGAGCAATAAGTAAGAAATGATTGACCAGGAAACCTATTGGGGAAGGGGAGAACTGGGTGAATAGGGTTGGGAAGAAATCTTTTCACTGTATACCTTTCTATGCTTTTTGCTGTTTGAACCACTTGAAGGTATTACTCATTCAAAAACGGAACAAATAATCGTTAATCAGTCTATGCAACCCAAAAATACTGGAAAACATACTTGCAGAATATATAATAGAAAATGTTAATATCCATCTATACTAATAAAAGGGTAATATGCAAATTGGTCACGATGCCCTCACAGTAACACCTAACAGCAGGCTGCGTGGGGTGACAAGGCCAGCAGGGGGGTTAGAGAGAGATGACCAAATGACTGACCAGCAGGCTGCGTGGATCAACCAGGCCAGGGGGGAGAGGCGGGGCAGTGAGGGGTGACCAGGCCGGTGGGAGGGGGTAGTTAAGGGCTACCAGGCTGGCAGGCAGAAGTGGTTAGGGGTGATAGGCTGGCGGGGTGGGGGGCAGTTAGGAGCAATTAGGAAGGCAGGCAGGTGAGCAGTTAGGAGCCAGCAATCACAGATTTTGAGAGGGATGTCCGACTGCCGGTTTCGGCCCAATCCCATGGGGTCCCAGATTGGAGAGGGTGCAGGCTGGGTTGAGGGGACCCCTTCTCCCCATGCATGAATTCCATGCACCTGGCCTCTAGTATTGGATAAATTGCTTTCTAAATAGCAAACATCTCAACAGAAAAATGAATAAAGGGTATAAACAGATATTTTTAAAAATCCCAATAGAAATATTGTTCAATCGTAGCAAACAAAGAAAGATAGCATATTTTAATCCTCCATGTTAGGCAAAGATTTTTCAAAATCATAATACCCTGTCGCAGTGTGGGTGGGGACACACACTGGCATCCTTGGTGGGATAGCAATTGGCACAATTTCTTCAGAGGGCCATTTGGTAATATGTATCAGAAACTTCAAAATTACTCATAACCTTTGGCAACGGAATTCCACATCTAAAAAGTCTTCTGTGATACTCATCCCAATCAGAACAAAGGCACAGACAGCCATGCGCCCAGGGGTATGACACCATTGAGTGCAGCCTCTAACCAGGCTCATCAGTGGTGGTGAATGTGCCTGAGGGGATGAGGGGGGGTTCCCTCAGCAGGTCCCTCAGCAGGTGCCAGGAACACCCAGGGCTGCGGACCCTACACAGTCAGTGCTGTGTTGTTTGTGGATGAAGACCGGAAACCAGGAAGCTGGCACTAAGGAATCATGCTTTGCTGCCACCTAGTGCTCCCCAGGTAACTGCACCCAGCCCGGGAGGAAAACTGTCTCCCCTTTAAGTAACTTTGCACCAAGGGGCCCGCTCCTCTCTGTTTAGCTAACAAACCCTAATAAAGCATTTACCATGTTCTAGGCATTGTGCTCTGCATTTATTAACACTCCCTCTTAATCCTCATAACAGCCCTCTGAAATAGGTACTTTTATCATCCTCATTTTATAAATGAGGGAACTAAGGTAAAGAGAGGTTAGATAACTACCTCAAGGTCACATAACTCCTCAGTGGGTGAGTCCGGGATTAGAACAAGTGGCAGATTGGCACCAGGGTCCGTGCTCTCAGCCAGCTCCTCCATGAGGGTCAAAGGTCTGGATGATACTAACAGCATTCAGAACCTCACAGCCCACACAGCAGTTGTGCCCCTTTCCCTAACACATCTGCCCCAAAGAAGTTCACACAGGGACTGAGTTTACCTCTGCCCCAGAGCAGTCTCACTTAAGTCAGAGACAAGTATTGTCCCAGGATAAACTCAGTGGATTTAAAAAAAAAAAGATTATTTTTTAATATTTTTATTGATTTCAGAGAGGAAGAGAGGAAAAAATAAAACCTCTCATCAATGATCAGCAACTTCCTGCACACCCCACACTGGGGATTGAGCCCACAACCTGGGCATATGCCCTGACGGATAATCAAACCATAACTAACTGGTTCATAGGTCGATGCTCAACCACTGAGCCATGCTGGCTGGGTTAAAAGAAAATCTTATTTGTAAAATACTTCATAATATATACATAAATATATAAGAAATAACAAATATTCAGTAACCACAAGCAGCTTAAAAATAGCATGTTTCCAGTAATGGTGCATCAGTGATGAGTTTTGGGGATACCAACAGGGCTATGAATGCAATTGGGCTGTCATAGCAACCCCTTTCCTTCTTAATAAACAGTCCTCCCCTATTATAGTTCATTGTATCCTGCTGGGACATCTGCATTTGGGTAAGATAGCAGTTGCTTCACAGTGGGGCTGAGAAAGCTTCTCCGTTATTTGTGGTGGTCTAAGAAAGTAGTGGCTCCCCACCAAGTCTGTGAACCCCTGGGCTCTGAGAAGTTACTGAAGGAATGGGAAGCCCAAGTCCCTAGCTGACATCATTTGTAGCCCAGAGTTATTAACCCAGGGTCCCTTGACTCCTCAGCAAACTTGGAGTCACATGCAAAGTTTTATGTGGTGCCTTTTCTTGTGGATGAAGGGGTCCACTCCATATCTCTTGTCAGAGTCTCCAAGAGGTCTGAGACCTTCCAAAAAGGTTAAGAATCGTTCCTACAGAAGAAGGGTTGGCAAATGGCCCACAGCTCAAATCCAGCACAATGCTTGTTTTTGTACAATCCATAAGCTAAGAATGAAATTTTCTATCTTAAAATGGTTTAAAAAACTCAAAAGAATATTTTATGATATGAACATTATATGGGATCCAAATTTGTGTCCATAAATAATGTTATTGGAACACAGCACTCTCATTCATTTGTATATTGTCATGCCCATTGTTGCACTACAAGAACAGATACATAGCCCAGGCACTGTGGCTCAGTGGTTGAGTGTTGACCTGTGAACAAGAGATCACGATTTGATTCCTAGTCAGGGCACATGCCTGGGTTGCGGGCTTGATCCCCAGTGTGGGGCATGCCATGAAGCAAGAAACTTAGTATTGGTGCCAAAAACCTTTTCTGGTTGAGTTTGTAATTTAGAAAGAAATGATTACAGTGATGACTAAAAATCAGCAACATCTTGTTACTTCTGAATTTATCTTTATGTGGTGGGTGACAGATTTTTAAAGATCTGGAAGAGAGCAGCCAAGATGGCTTAACAGGACTTCTAGACACAGTCCGTAGTCCGTGGCATAAGAATTAGTTTTACTGTGTCTCCCACCATCATTTGCAACTTTGTTGAAAAGACATGATCTTCCTCTGCCAAGGGGTGAAGATTTAGGCAGCACAGGAGTTTTGTCTGTCTTCCTGTCACATTTAATCAGATATCCTCATTGTGTTACTGGTAAAATATCGAGTCACATCTAACAGTCAAAACTACAAACTTGGCATTAACTCTTGCAAATCGAGCTTGCTACAAGCCTGAAACTTACAGCAAAGTAACGGGATGGATTCCTGTGCTTTCTCTTCTTTCCTCCTCTCAAAACTCCCCCACAGCTAGCTGTCCTACCACTGCCTCAGAAGCTGAGAGAGAACCACCAGAACACAGTTCTTACTTACCTGGTTGGCTCTGTGCTCTCTGGGCCTGCCTGGTGATGAGAGCTGGCTTTCTCTTAGATCAACACTTCCATGAGTTTGCCAGAGGTTCCTGCTGTGCACCGCTTTACCCTGGCAGAGGCATCTCCGCCCTCGCTGTTCACTCGCTGTTTTCTCCTCAGTCCGAAGGCACCAGGCAGTACATGCAAGTCCTTTTCTGCTGAGGCCCCCTTGGCTCTGCTGGTGGCCTGTTGGACAATGTCCAACATGACCCCACCGATGGTCCATGGGAAAAACTCAAGCATCCTTGGCCGTGAGAAAGAACTGTCACCAAAGTAGCCTTGCCTTTCTCTCGCCCCCTAGATTTCCTAGCCGAGTGACATACCAGCTTTCAGCCCGCTTGTGCTTTCTTTCCCAGTCCGAGCCAGGCACCAGTTTTCTGGGTGTCCTAACTGCAGAGAACACATTTCCAAACTCTCTTGAGTTGACCCTTGAAGTCCTCCTCAGCTTATAATAGTGTCACTTCCCTACTAGTCTGCCAAAATGGGGATTGGAACTCACAGCAAAAACTTTATTCAAAAAATATTTTTATCCATCTTCTTAACAAATCCTCTGTTCTCTCAGAGGATTAAGGGGCTCAAGAGTCATGAAACAAGTTCTCGTTTTCCCCTTAGAATTCCCAAATTTGGCCGAAACCAGTTTGGCTCAGTGGATAGAGCATCTGCGGACTGAAGGGTCCCAGGTTTGGTTCCAGTCAAGGGCATGTACCTTGGTTGCAGGCACATCCAGTGGGGGGTGTGCAGGAGGCAGCTGATCGATGTTTCTCTCTCATCGATGTTTCTAATTCTCTATCTCTCTCCCTTCCTCTCTGTAAAAAAAAATCAATAAAATATATTTTTTTAAAAAGAATCCTCAAATTTGAGGCAGAAAAGTTCCATTCTATAATAACTTGTATGTTACTTATTGCTGCAAAATAAATTACCCCCAAACTTCGTGGTGTAAACAATAAATATTATTGTTCACAGCTTCTCTGGGCCAGGAACTCAAGAATTAAGTAGTTCTGGTTTAATTAGGTAGTTCTGGCTCAGGGTCTTGTGAGGTTCCAGTCATGATATCAGCCTGACAAGGGCTGGAGGGTCACTTCCAATGTGGTTCACTCACTTGGTTTGCAAGTCAGTGCTGGTTGGTGGTGGAGGCCTCCATTCCTCTCCCCTGGCATTCTCCACTGGCTGC